GTTCTCTGTCCTGACAGAAAAGGAGAACAACTTCCCGCCGCTGCCCGGGTTCATCCCCCTGAAGCCCTGCTTCTACCAGAACTTCTCCGACGAGATCCCAGTGGAGCACCAGGTCCTGGTGAAGCGGATCTACCGGCTGTGGATGTGTGAGCGGCGCAGGGCGGGAGGCCGAGGCAGGGCTGCCCGGGGGAGAGGGGTAGGGAGGGAGCGCCATTCGGGCAGGGACAGCCTGGCGGGGTCTCTGGGCCCGGTGGTGACTGAGGCCGCTGTGCAGGCCTTGGGCCCCGGTGTCCATCCTCGACGTGGGTCACCAGGCTGGGGAGGCGGACAGCAGATGCCAGAGTCCCGTAGCTGAGCAGCGTACCTTCCCGCAGCCGCGCCTGACTCGCTCTTCCTCGCTCTCTCTCGCAGTTTACTGCGCCACCCTTGGCGTCAACCTCATCGCCTGCCTAGCCTGGCTGATCGCCGGAGGCCCGGCGTCCAACTTCGGCCTGGCCATCGTGTGGCTGCTCCTGTTCACGCCCTGCAGCTACGTGTGCTGGTTCCGGCCCGTCTACAAAGCCTTCCGGTGAGCAGAGCTGCTGGGCCGCCGCGCGCGGAGGGAACTGGCCCAATCCACACCCCGGTCCCGGCCCAGCTGTCAGGACCTGCCCCTTCTCTGCCCAGTGTGAAGGGCGGTTCACATCCAGGGTGGCAAACGACGGCCCACAAGCCAGAACCAACTACTGCCTGTTTTGTTTTGCTTTTTAGTAATTTTGGCTGGGTGTGGCGGCTCACACCTGTAATCCCAGCACTTTAGGAGGCCATGGCGTGGGTTTCACCAGGTCAGGAGTTTGAGAGCAGCCTGGCCAATGTGGTGAAACCCTATCTCTACTAAAAATAAAAAAATTAACCAGGCATGGTGGCAGGCACCTGTAATCCCAGCTACTCGGGAGGCTGCGGCAGGAGAATCACTTGAATCCCGGAGGGGGGGTTTGCGGTGAGCCGAGATCGCACCACTGCACTCCGCCTGGGAGATGAGCGTGAAACTCTGTCTCAAAAAAAAAAAAAAAAAAAAAAATACCAGGCTCACGCTTGTCCTTCCAGCATCCCAGCACTTTGGGAGGCCGAGGTGGGGGGGATCACCTGAGGTTAGCAGTTCAAGACTAGCCTGGCCAACGTGGCGAAACCTCGTCTCTGCTAAAAATACAAAAATCAGGCAGGTGTGGTGGCGGGCGCCTGTAATCCCAGCGGAAGTTGCAGTGAGCCAAGATCTCAACACCGCACTCCACCCTGGGTGATGGAGTGAGACTCTCTCTGCACAGAAAAAAAAAGAAACAGAGGAGCCAGGCGCGGTGGCTCACGCCTGTAATCCCAGCACTTTGGAAGGCTGAGGTGGGCGGATTAGGAGGTTAGCAGTTTGAGACCAGCCTGACCAATATGGTGAAACCCCGTCTTTAAACCAGACTAAACAAAACAAAAAACAAAGGAATAAAATAGAGCCTCCGTTCTTGCCGTCTCTGGCCTGCACGTTCCTCTGCAGGTGCGTCTGGGCGAAGCCGGGGCCGCGGTAACCATCGTGTTTTCTGTCCCTCCCCAGAGCCGACAGCTCCTTTAACTTCATGGCGTTCTTCTTCGTCTTCGGAGCCCAGTTTGTCCTGACCATCATCCAAGCGATCGGCTTCTCGGGCTGGGGCGCGTGGTAAGCCTCTCCCTGACGGGCGTGGAGGATGTGACGTCGCTCTGCTGCAGGGTCATGGGCCTGCTGGGAACCCCGGCGGCCGCGGGAGCCTGCTGCTGCTCTCCCAGGGAGGGCTCCACGACTGCCCCACAGTGCCCGCATCCTCACCAGCACCCAGCCAGGCTTCCCTCCCACATTTCGATCTTGCCCCCGTCCAGGGTCTGGGAGCACTGAGGAGGAAGACGCGAAAAATACGTAAAAACGCACTCACAGCCTGGGCTGTTGTCACGCCTGAGACGCTGACGTCAGCGTAGAGAATACTGTGACGGTAGTTCTCTGAGTTCTGCCAGGCGCCCAGAAGCGTTCATGTGTGCGTCTTAAATTGCTGGCCTTTTAAATAGGCTTTTTGTTTTGGAATGATTTGGAATCCACAGTTGGTAAAAGCAGCTGCTCCCGCCCTCATTCCCAGCGTGAATCCCTTGTCCATAGCAAGGTGGGAGCTCCTCCCAGGTGACGCTGATCACCGAGCCGCGGGCGCCTTCGGTTTCCTGAGCTCCTGTTAGCGAGCTGCTGTTCGGGGGCGCCTGCCCCACGGGACCGCAGCCCTCTCTCGCCGCTGCACAAATCAGAACCCGGAGAAGGTGTCTCCGCTCCCTTCAGGGGCCCTCGACCTGCAGGCGTCTCTCCTCCTGCACCGGCTGGGCCACTGAGGCTATTACCCGCCACCCCAAGAGCCTGAGTGGTGCTGCCCCAGGAATCTGAATCAGGGTCATAATCAGGATGTCCCCAGGGCTCCCAGCTCTGCCAGCCTGTGGGGTGCGTTCCCATCTCCAGAGGCCATGCTGCAGGTCAGGGCCCTGCCCGGCATTCTCCAAGTCCCCCTGAGCTCCCCACTGCCGGCTCGGCTCACACTGGCCCTGCCCCGGGTGCCGGTGCCTCCTGCCTCCCCAAGTCCCCAGACTGAGCCGGGTGGACAGGCCTGTGCCCAGGCTGGGTGGTCCTGAGGTCCTGGCATGCAGCGAGCACCCATGTGACCCTCAGAGGCCTCCCTGCCCCCTCGGCCCTTGGCCCTCATGCAGGTGCAGCAGCAGCAACTTGGCTCCCGTCGTGGGTGTCAGGGGTCATCTCCCGCAGGTCACGGGAGAGGCTGGAGCCTGCAGTCCCTGCCCGAGTTGGACAGAAGGTGGATGCTCTCAGGAAAGAAACTGAGTGGTCTTAGAGGAGAGCCCGCCTGCTCACAATGGGAGAAATCAAATCACCGTGTGCGGCGACCTCACGTCCACTGTTGGCTTAACGAGGTCCCACACTCAGTGCGCTGCTGTGGGGCGCGAGGGGACAGCCACACCCCCCTGCCTCGGGTGGCTTCTCCAGTGCCCCCTCCCCAGGGGTGACGCACCCCCAGGGCCGTGAGCCAGGTCTGGAGCCTCCAGATAAACAACCCCCAGCACGGCCTAGCTGCGTAGACAGTCGGGGCCACACATGCACAGAGGACCTGGCACAGAAGGGGCCCTGGTGGACCCTGCCAGGAAGCAGAGGTCGGCAGGCGCTGCGGCCTCTGAGCAGAGCGCGCAGCCTGGATGACGTTTTGCCCGGAGCCTCCTTAGTCCTGACACTTGCAGGTGGGGCTGGAGACACTGGCGAGCGGGAAGCTGGCAGGGAAGCAGGAGCCCCACGTGCGTTTGCCGCTCTTCGTAAATCTAAAATCCCCAAACAGAGGTCGATTTTTTTGGAAAAGGAAAGAGGCCAGGCACAGTGGCTGACGCCTGTAGTCCCAGCGCTTTGGGAGGCCAAGGCAGGAGGATCACTGCTTGAGGCCAGGAGTTCAGACCAGTCTGGACAACACAGGGAGACCCTGTCTCTCCAAAAACAAAAGAGGCCGGGTGCGGTCGCTCACGCCTGTCATCCCAGCACTTTGCAAGGCTGAGGCAGCTGGATCACCTGAGTTCGGAAGTTTGAGACCAGCCTGACCAACATGGAGAAACCCCATCTCTACTAAAAGTACAGTTAGCCAGGCGTGGTGGCGCGTGCCCGTAATCCCAGCTACTTGGGAGGCTGAGGCAGGAGAATCCCTTGAACCCAGGAGGTGGAGGTTGCAGTGAGCCGAGATCGTGTCATTGCACTCCAGCCTGGGTGACGAGCAAAACTCCGTCTCAAAAAAAAAAAAAGAGAGAGAAAGGAATGACCCAAAGCCCATGCAGCCTGTGCTGCCCGCTGTGGAGCGCCGAGCTCGTCAGCCTGGGGCGGGCCAGGATCTTGCAGGCAGCAGCGCTGGGCTCACTGCCTGGCGTGTGCGTGCGTGTCACACAGTGGGTACACAGACCTGTCTGCATAAGCTCCCTGGACACCTCCGGGGCGTGTGGGTCCTGCCGGTTGCCGTGTGCTGGGAGAGACAGGGTGGCATGTCTTTCAGCTCCCTGAATTTTGTTTTATTTTTTTAAATTATTTTATTTTATTTTATTTATTTATTTATTTATTTATTTTTTTTT